TTGTTTACATAAAAACTTATAATAGGATCCATCTTTAAATAGAAAAGGAGTGTGTTTATCCCATCCCCTCGTATAAATCACATATCGTATTGCTAAAGAAATGCCAATGTACAATCCCAACCTCTAACTTTATTTTCCAACGCTCCCCCTTGCTTAATTGTATCATACAATTAAAAATTCTATCACCATGCTACACTACTTAACAACCTATAAAAAAAAAGAAGGCAAAAACACTACCTAACAACCCACAATAGAATTGCGAGAGTATGGTTTTTTGGGGTGAGTTAGTGGGCAGAGAGCCTTTACTCCTTGTAGGAATTGAGTATAGAACATAGCGCGCAAATCATCAAGCACTAACCAATTAAGCCCAGACTCTTTTTCTAGTGTGGCAATATTTTCTCTAGCGATTCCAAAATACGATGGGCTGGAAAATTGTAACCTATCATTATATGAGTGAATGCAGCAACAAAATATGGTTATAGGGAGGAATGTTATTGTATTATGTGCATGTAGACATTGATTAATATGTGTCAGCATTTGACATAGATATGAGTATTGAAAAATCAATTTTAAATTGGACTTTTGAGATACAACACCTTACATATCATTTAGAGAAAGGGGGGAAGAAGGATTTTAGAGCCGCATTAGGTATTAAGTACTTTTATAATGGATTTCAGAAAGGGGAGTTAAGATGAGCTGCCTAGGTTTCGAAAGTGTCTGACATAAGCATTATTGTGCTGACATGTAAAAAGATCCATGAACACATGTGCCCCAAACACACATAGTTCGGTAATTTAACCATAGGAATCAAATTTGAGATGTAACATTACTATTGTTATTATGAAGCAATTAAGCCCAAGAATATTCACAATATACATAAATATTGTGGGACTTTGGCCTTGTCAATTACTTGGGCTTAGTTATGGTTCTAAGTGACGCAATGAATCTAATGTGAAAGAAGGGGAAAATACGTCACGAAAAAAAAACAAAGTGAAAAATGACCTCATGTTGGCTATTACACTCATTCCACTCATTATCATCATCAAAGCCTTTTTCTATCTAATTAGGGTCGATTACACAGATCTTGTTCCGCCGTTATGCTCTATTAAGGGCTATACCCTCAATGATACCATAGGTCCCTATATCTTTTATCATTACTTCCAACGATGTCCTTTTAGGCATAATCTTTGCCCTTTTTAACCTTCCACTTGAACTGACTCGTACCACCTAACAGGTGTTGTACTGGTTCTGTGCCACCCATAGCCAGTCCACCTAAGTCTACTCTCACTCTCATCATATTGGCTATTCCCACATTATTGCTAACTTATATAAACAATGTTTTACCTTGCCTAGCTCTGTTTTAATTTAATTTATTTCAATTGAGATAACACTTAATTTACCAATTAAAAATATGTCAAATATTAAAACAAGGGTCCTTGATTGTGAGGGTTTTAGACGTTTCCAAAAGGTTAGGGATAAAATGTAAATAAGTAGCTCATCTATGCTGCCATGTAGTATAGGGTAGGTCCGCCTCCATTTTTCTATTACCTCCAAAATTTTCATACCCACCAAAATATTACTAATAAACAAACTGTGCTTTGGAAAAGGAGCGGAAAAACTCTCCAATATGATATGCACAATGATGTACATAGTTGGCATAGGAAATGGAAATCCAAACAAACTTACTCAACTAGGAAAAGAATATCTTATTATGGTGGGATCCATAGAAAGGTTATTTAACCTGATATGCTTGTTTGGCCCTTTAAGCTAAGTGGTCAGATCCAAGTGTTTGGATCCAATTTTCCCTTCCTTCAATTCATTTGTTTGAATGAAGAAAATGATGTTTTTGTTCGTGTTCTTGTCATTGTTTTTGCTTACTCATCGAGATTCTTCAATACGTAATCGTTAAATGCATGTGATTTTATACTATGAGACAATTTATCTTTATTACAAGGAGTCGCTGGCATTTAAATGCCAAATTGGATGGCTTGATATATGATATAATGTTTAAAAAAGTTTGTTTTAATTACCCAATTTGAAATCTGACAAGAGTGATTGTGACATCTTTATATTAAAAATAAATAGTTGTTAGATGTATTATCCCGTATGTGTTTCTTTTTAAAAAAAAATGCAGTTTTTTATTATCAGTAAGCAAACAAATTCATTGGTGAATTTTTTTAATGGTGATAAATTTATCTATGAAAAAACATTACATAAGAGAGCAAAGCCTCGTGTCATGTTGTTGGCACTTAGCTGGAATGGGATAAAATACAAATGACACCTCAGTTTCAAATTATAACACAAAAAGGGCATGTTCCAACGCCTCACATCTTCCTCGAATTTTGACAAAAATGAGCAATTTTTTTATACCAAAAATTACCAATAAAAGCGGCAAGTTTCAAAAACCTTGCTTGCTACTTGCTAGATATCGTCCATTTTTAACCGCCGATTGTTGAGATTTACTGCAGTTTCTCGAGATAGGTAATCCCTCTCTTTCCTCTCTTTCTTTTCCTTTTTTTTTATTTTTTTATTTTTTTTTTGAGGGGTTTTATGATTGGCCAAAACTGTTATCGTATGTATATGTATCGTATAGATATGTATCTCTTGTGGATGTTTTCGTAATGGATATGTATTAATCCATAATACTCTTATAGTGTGAACGTATAGTATAGATATATATCTCGATAACATTAAGTGTCTTTGCTATTGTATGGATATTGTGTCCATTAACTATTATCGTATAAATATATCATATGGATATGCATCTCTGATAAGATTAGGATTAGATATATATCTCTCGATTATGATAAGAATAAATATCATTTATACGTAATAGGAATCTATCCATAACTATTACTTCATCTTTTGCCTGATGGAGTAAGTGAACAGTATAAGCTCCCGTGGTAGAATGCTATTGGAATGGTTCATGATACGGTTATTCTCAACTTTCCGTTATCCAAACCAGCAAAGCAACAGCGATTTCGTTTTACAGATAGCTTCGAAGATAAATCCATACCACTATCCTTTTAGCATGATTAAACCAACAAAAAAATTTAAAAAAAATCAAACCGAAATAGATAGGGAATCAATATGCCATTTAACCGTTTAAAAAGACAGGATTTTCCTAAAGCAATCGGATCTCACCATTTTTAACAAATCCAGTTCCTAATTTGAATCTACGTGGGCACTCCTAAAACAACTAAAAAATTCCTAATTTATCATAACCGTGAACTTCTCCTATTAACAAATTTCAACAAAATACTTGCATTCGTCTAAAATCAGCCCCCCAAAACACAAATATGTTTAACCAAACCACCCCCTAGTAACCAATTTCACCAAACTAATTGCACATTCTCCTACAGCTGAACTACCCAAAAATAAATATAAATAAAAATAAAAAAGAAGGAAAAAAAAAATTCACTTAGCACCTCACAATTAAAAATAAAAATAAAAAAGAAGAAAAAGAAAAAAATATTCACTTAGCACCTCACGATTAGGAGTGCTATATCTCAAGTTCCATTTTTACAATTGAATTATCCACAAAAAAAAAAAGAAGAGAAAATATCTTATTATCATCTATTTTTAACTTTTATATCTCATCGGACCCAAGAATTGAAAATATTATTTTAAGCAAAAAGGCTTCATTTTTTCTATCCCTAAACCCTTTTGACCATATATTATTGACCTCAACAACTTATGAAAGGACTATATCTCTCTCTAAAACTCCATCTCTCTCTCTCTCGAAACTTCATCTCTCTCAAACCCAAACTCTATATCTCTCTCACATCATCGTCTCTCTCTCTCAAAACTCCATCTCTCTCCTTAAAACTCAAACTCTATATCTCTCTAAAACCCAAACTCCATCTCTCTCTCACATAAGAAAGTGTGCTCGTGTTCGAGCTCAACCTAATCCCCTTGGCTGGTAAACTCATCGAGAAGCGAAGAGATAGAGATTGAGTTTTAGCGAGAGAGATGGAGTTTGAATAGGGTGTCATTTTAGTGTTTGTTTGGGTCAAAAATTTATAGTCAAAGGGATCTAAGGGTTGTAAGATAGAAAAAATGAAAACTTTTACTTACAAGTAATATTTTTAATTCTTGGGTATCATCAACTATAAAAATTAAAAATAAAGGATAAAGAGATATTGTCTCATAAAAAATTTCCAAATCTAGAGGACTAACTGAAAAGAGCACCAGTTAGTTATCTCTTACTATACCATACGACTCAGATATACGGTCAATATTCCTTTCCAAATATGTTTGGAGTTGAATTACTGCGAGCAAATGCGGCCAATAATGTTGAGGATAAGCTTTCCGATTTTGATCTCTAATAGGGTGGCATGTACACTTCACTTATGAAAAAAAAGGAAATAGTTTGATAGGACCGCAACCCTACCAACATAAGTAAAATAAATGTTCACATATCTGCAAGCTCCATACTATTTTTTTATTTTCAAAATTTATTATCCGTTTTTAGATTTAAAGTGAGGCTTTATTTTGTTTTTATAAATCCTATAACTTATAGAAACCTCGTCCACAAAAAATACCCTTAGTTTTATTACAGAAACCTCATCCATTAAAAAAACGACACTCTTGTTTTAGTCCCAAGGTGGAAACCCGGCTCCTACGCCCACGCTGACGAGCCTATGAACCCAAGCACCAAACCCTAATTTTAACCCTCAAATCAAATGAATCCCCAAAGATATCCTCTCAAAATTCAAGACCTTACTTGATAAAAACCCTTCCATTATCTATTTGGATGAGTCAACCTTATTCCTCTCTCTCTTAATCTCTCTTTCTCTCTAAAATACTTCCTCTCTCTAAACGACTTCCCCTCTCTAAACGACTTCCCCTCTCTAAACGACTTTCTCTCTCTAAACGACTTCCCCTCTCTAAACGACTTCCCCTCTCTAAACGACTTCCTCGCTATCACTCCCCCCTTCCAGTCTGGTTGTAGGCATCAACTGCCCATCCTCTCCCCTTATATATACACAAACTTTTGTCACAACAGCCCAAAGCATTAGCCCTAGCCCTAGCCCTAGCCCTAGCCCAGCCCTGGCCATGGCGGAGATGGGAGCTCTAGGTGTGGCCTTAGCGGTGGTGCGCGGCCGCTGGTTCATGTTCTTCGCCTCCTTCTTGATCATGTCAGCCGCAGGAGCAACTTATATCTTTGGGGTTTACTCTGAAGACATAAAGTCATCCCTTGGTTATACCCAACAGAATCTCAATACTTTGAGCTTTTTCAAAGATTTGGGTGCAAATGTTGGTGTGATCTCCGGGCTCATCAATGAGGTGACACCGCCTTGGGTGGTGTTGGCGATGGGCGGGGTCATGAATTTGGGTGGTTATCTCATGATATGGCTCGCGGTGACGGACCGTATCCCGACGCCGAAGCTGTGGCATATGTGCGTGTACATTTGTGTGGGCGCCAATTCGCAGTCGTTTGCGAATACGGGCGCTCTCGTTACGGCCGTCAAGAATTTCCCGGAGAGTCGAGGGATCGTCTTGGGTCTCCTCAAGGGATTTGTGGGCCTGAGTGGTGCCATTATAACACAGCTTTATCACGCGTTGTATGGTCACGATTCGAAGTCGTTGATCTTGCTCGTTGCCTGGTTGCCAGCTGCCATTTCGTTTATGTTCCTCTCCACCATTAGGATCATGAAGCCCACTAGAGATAGAGATGAGATCAAGGTCTTCTACTCCTTTCTGTATATTGCTCTGTCTCTGGGTGCTTACTTGATGGTGGTGATTATCATCGAGACTCGCATCAACTTCTCCGGGTCAGCTTTTAAGGGGGCAACAGTCATGGTGGTGGTCTTGCTCTTTTTCCCACTAGCTGTTGTGATCAAGCAAGAGCTAGCCAAAATCAGGCAACCCATCTTGCCATCTAACCAGTCCTACCCCATCGAGTCACCCGAGCCCAAGCCGAGCGAATCAATGCTTGAGCCCGCAAAAGCAGCCGAGGCCCAAGCGGTGGCCACAGACACCAAGCCTGCCTCTCTATGGAGAGGCACCTTCAAGGCCCCCAAACGAGGTGACGACTACACAATTCTCCAAGCCTTATTTAGTGTTGACATGATAATCCTATTTTTAGCCACAATTTGTGGTGTGGGGGGCACCCTAACAGCAATTGATAACATGGGTCAGATAGGTAAGTCCTTAGGATATGGTCCCCAAGGCATAAGCACCTTTGTCTCTCTAATCAGTATATGGAATTTCTTGGGCCGGGTCATGTCAGGTTTTGGGTCCGAAATCGTCTTAGCTAAATATAAATTCCCACGCCCACTCATGCTCACCATAGTCATGCTTTTCTCTTGTGTTGGTCAAATTCTCATTGCCTTTCCATTTCCTGGTTCAGTCTTCATAGCCTCAGTCATCATAGGCCTGTGTTTTGGTGCTCAATGGCCTTTGCTCTTTGCTATAATCTCTGAGATTTTTGGCCTCAAATATTACTCGACCCTTTATAACTTTGGTGCCGTTGCTAGTCCTGTGGGTTCATATATATTTAATGTTAGAGTTGCTGGTCACCTCTATGACATAGAAGCGGCTAAGCAACTGGGTGGAAAGGCTTTGGCTCCAGGGGTTGAGCTCACATGTACAGGGAACCGGTGCTTTAGGCTCTCCTTTATTATCATAACAGCTTGTACATTGCTTGGTGCTTTGATTTCCATTGTTTTGGTTGTGAGGACAAGAGAGTTCTATAAGGGGGATATCTATGCCAGGTTTAGAGAGGCAGCAGCCTCGGCCTCCATCGAGATGGAGACGGTCG